CTTTTTAGAAGTAATTGTACACAATACACATATTATTTGGAAGTTAAATAATATTGAAAAAAAGTTTAAATATGATTTTTTTGTCATCGCTTGCAAAGCAGCTTCTTTGTTATGACAAAAAAATTTAAAATAATAAAGTACATTATTGTGTAAAAAATGAATAAATGTAATCGATGTGTCAAATGTAACAGAAATGGAATTAAATCAAAACAAATCATTACTATATAATATGCACTAAATTTTTGCATCCAGGAATTCGTTTTAGGAATTATTATAAAAATAATACTTGAATAAGTTTTTTCAATGACACGACATTTTATTTACTTGAAAATTTAAATTTTTAAAAAACATCATCACAAAAAATTAATCTAAAAAATTCAAAGGTTATTATTTGCATAAAGCTGATCTCTAAATGTTAATATGTTATTTAAAACATTGCGGAAAATTCGTCATTTGTTCTTTTTTGTAAAATTTTATAGCGTCAAAATTCAACATTTGATTTTTGAACTCCAATTTTTAAGCAGAAAAATCTATTGTTTTGCTATAAAGAGTTAAGCTAAAAAATTATTAAATGTACAAATAATAAATCAAGTCTAAATTATCTTATTACACATTTATTTTTGCCAAACAAATGCTACTTAGTTACATTTTTCAAATTTTTACTTATGTAAATAGCAAGTGACTGTGTGCTGTACCTAAAGAAAGATCTTTTTTCACTAGGAGCATGTCAAACAGTGTATATGGTTATTTATAAAAATTATACACTTAAACTATATGTTTGTAATATTCAAACTTAAATTTTATTGCATTTATCTAAAGTCTCTATATTTTAAAAATAACATAAAAAAAATGCAGTGTTCAATTCTCTACTTTCTCTAGACATTTATGGTTGTATATGAGTCTGATTTTTTAATTAACTACATAGTTTCTTTGTTAATTATAATGTTTAGCATTTATCAGAAAGAAAAAATATAAAAATATATTTCATCTCAATTTTTAAAAAACTTTGTAGATCTATCATATTCTTTCGATTTGTAAAATAGATAAATGTTATAAATTTATGCAGAAAGGGAATATATTTTTTATAGCTTTGCATTAATTTTATAATTTAATATTTAAACTGTGTTACAAATAGTACTGGCAGATTGTAAATATTTCAAAAGCTGCACAAAAATGATAATATTTTTAAAAACTACATTTACTTTTACCCAGTTATTATAACATGCTATTTTAAACAAAACATGAAAATTATTTAAAATAAATTTTTAATTATATAAAATAAAAGATTTAATTTTAATGACAGATAAAACTTTAAAAATATTACTTAAATTATAATTTTACTTAAATTGTGTAAAGTTTTAAAAATTAATTATACGACCTTAAAAAATTTAAAAGCTATATTTTTTGTTCTGATATTTTTATACAAAAAACAAATATATTTTTTTTATTTGTTAGTTTTATTTTTAATAGTAAGTCTTTTGTTTTGCGAAAATTTAGAAGATTTACTTAGGAAAAACTTGCAGAGGAAAATTTTAAACCAATGAGTGCTAACTTTTTTCAAAATAATTATAGCATTGCTTATACGATTAGTTTCGAAGATATGCAATTTTATTGTACAAGAAATACGATTGATCATGGTAAAATGAATGTTATCTTGTTTTTTATCACTGGTCTTATAATGGCTATGATCCTTTATCATACTTAAAAAGTGAAGTTATTAATGATTTTTAATTTTGCAAATGTGATAAGGAAAGGTCTTATATGCAGTTAAAGGGGTCTAATTTATATGATATAAAATTTCACAATCTTTGTCAGGTAATATTAGAATAACTAAAATCAGAACATTCATCTTTAGATATAATTCCAAATTTTAATCTTTTAACTAAAAATATATCGAATTGTAATTTATTAGTTTTGGATAAAGATTATCAGCCTGTATTTCATATTCAATGTATTAAAGATGGTATAATATGTACAATAAAAATACAAGGGAAAGATATAAATCTAGTAGATCATTTAAAAAATAATTTATTGCAAATAATAAAATATAAAAAGAAACGAAAAAAATTTTAAAAGTATTTTGATAATTTTGAATTTGTTAAGTTTAAGAATCTAAATAGAATTTATGATATTTCTAAAATCAATAAATCAATAAAGCTTTGTGGAATAAAAAACAAATATATAACTATAAATAAGTCTTACATTGTCAACGGAAAAAATAATTGCGAGTTGGAACTAAATCAAGAGCCCAAAGATATTCGTGTCAAATCTGAAAAATTATTGATAAATTTTCAAATATTGTCTCGGCCAAAGCATGTGCAATAATGATTTTGTTTAATGCACTTTCAAGGGATACCATTGGAGCTATTGTTGATGGGATTACTAGTGATACATCTAGTTTTATTACAAAGCATTAATATTGTGGTTAAAAGAGAATACACCAAGGTTACCTATAGAAATTAATAATGAAGCCAACAACGAGTATTTAAAATATAAATCATTGATTTTTAAAAAAGAATTACCCTCTGAAGAAGCAGAAAAAATCAAACCGTTTTATAATATTTTAGCAAAATGTGAGCTTATTACTGTTAGTAACATGAACGAATTGTTCTATGCATTTATTATTTGCAAAGCCTATGCAGAGAATTACTATCCTGGACTTTTGATTAACAATCCTTTTATACGTAATATAAAAGAATTTTTGGCATTAATCAATCACCTTTGAATGTACTAGAAATATTTTATACATTATTTAAAGATTATAAAAAATCATTAAATGCTATTAATCTTAAAGGAGAAAATTTAGTTTATGGTATTATAATAAAAGAAACAGGGGAAAGATTAAAAAATAAAAAGTAGATAAACTTAATAAATTTTTAAGATTAAATGCATTGTTATATTTTATTAAACTCCAATTATAGTAAACACTAACATGGGGCGATACCAACAATAGAGTTGTCTAGTGATGGCTGTGGCCTAGAGGCTAAAAGACTATTAGAAGAGTTGGAAATTATTATGCATGCATTTGACATTGAGATGGTCGAAAATGAGTTTTGAAGAAAAGAGATTTTTGAAAAGCAAGCAGAGCATTAAAAGTTTATATGGTACGAAATTTAATTACAGAAGAAAAGTTAAAAGAGCTACTAAAAAATTGATTCTGAAAATTAGATGAAGAAGAGGGAGAAAAAAAGAATAAAAAATATTCAAGAGCTGCCAAAAAAGATTTTAAATACGTTTATAAAAGCAATGCCTATAAATAAAAGTGGAGAAAGAACTGCAGCTGTAAAATGTTTTTTTCTGTGATAAAGTAGGATATAGGGCGAGAAATTGTTATTCCAGAAGGGCTAAGAAAGTGTTCTTAAAGATTTATAATAAAATTGATTTAAGTTTTTAATGTGACAGTGTATCAGAAATAACGACTAATAGAGGTTATTAAAGGACCGATACGGGAGGAAGAAAACTTAAAGCACAAGAAAAAATATATGTGAGCAAAGGTGATTATAAAAGGAAGAAATTGAATTTAGAGGAGTATGTAAAGAAATTTAAGGAAGTTTTAAGGGAAGATACGA